TTTTTTTTTTTTTTTTTACAGGTAATTACTAAATGTAATTAGTCTTTTTTCCTAATAAAACTTTTACTTTGCAATAAAAACAACAACAAAATAATTAAAATAAGACGTATGAACTGAAAATTCCGTTACGATAATCAATCCTCATCACTAGTTTTAAAGAAACAAGATATTTTTGAGTTTATATGCAAGTGCATGTGAGAGAAATCCTAAAAAAGAAGCTGCAAAAAAAAAGAAAATCCTGAAATGCTATTTACTAACCATATGTTAAATCTATCCTTTCATTTGTCCAAAGAGGGCTTTGCAGAGGCCCTGTGCAGTGGGGATCACTCTAGATGTCTAGCACAACTGGAGGAGGTGGCCTGGTCAACCCTTTGGCCTCGAAGCAGCACATTGAGGGCCCTCGCCTCCCTGCTCACCTCAGAGGAACCCCAGGTCAACAAAGCAGCATCCGACTACCTCTCCTCCGCAGCCTCAGACAGACACTTCAGAGCCAGGGTGAGCAGTGCTGACAATAGACCAGGTTTCCCAGCATGTGAAAACAGAGCGGCGTTTGAATGTTGTCTCGTTTGTAGGCAGTGGAGTACTACACCCAGGCGCTGTCAGAGGCTGGAGTCCAGAGCCAGAGGGCGGCCTGCTCTGCTCTCAGCTGCCTTCAGGTCTGAGTCCGATCGCTGTATTAATCCTTTATCATAATATCTGACAACAGTTTTCCATTTTGGATTTGAGGAAAGGATTCATGAAACCTGATTTATTTGTGTCTGAAGGCAGTGGAAAGCCTGAAAGCAGTCATAGCGCTGTGTGATTCAGCTGATGAGGAGCTGCGTCATGTGGCCATAGAGACCCTGCTCACATTTGGTGAGTACTGTTCTACATTCATTAATCATTTCTTACCCTGCATATTCACAAATCAGGGGTTATGAGTTTAGTTCTTATTATCTGATTAACCTTAAATACTTAAACTATTGCATTCTTGGACTCAAAATTATCACACCATACAAAATTACAGGACAGCCAAAGATTAATTTATTCTACATTTCTAAATGCTGGATTTTATGTTGTTTATTTCCTGTATTTATCTGTTCTCTAAACTGGACATCATGCACCACGGGTATATTTGTATATTAAGGTTTTACTGTATCTGTGATGGATAACAGAAACTGCCCTCTAAGAAATAATTATTTAGTAATTGTTAATAAGACTGCAAATTAAAACACTTTTTTTTGCAGATTAGTTAAATCTTTGACTTGTTCCGTTGACACATGATAGAATGACCTGAGGAGAAGTTAATGTTGCAAATATCAATGGAAATGAAGGTGGATGTAGGTATAGTTAATGAATCTCACCAAGAAAAATATATTTATTTACATGAGGTCCTGGATGTAAAGAAGCTGCTATTGATTTGTAATGTTTTTAATAGACGTGTCGATACAAATTCAAATAAAATAGGGCTGTTTGATCTTCTAATGTTTAAACAAAATTAAATCCAAACCCATTCTTTTATTCCTATATACGTTGCAGGGGGCTCTGCATTTCTGTAATATGTGTTTTTTAAGCTAGTATTAATAATTTAGAACATATTAATATAGGAAAAAAGCTGATGCGCTTGGATAGGAATGAGTATAAAAAGTATCATTACATTTTTTGTTTAAATTCTGGTGGGTTTTTAATTCATTTTTAAAAATTAAAAATCAATAAATCCAACCTAATTAAAAAAAATTTCAATGCCTGTTTGATCTGTGATGGAGAGTAATAGCTTGGTGTCAAATATTTGAAATTGAGAAGTTAAAACCCTCATCAACCTTATCATCAGACAGAAGCAGTTTTTTTTCCCTTCCTACTGACTTCCTTCTACCAGACTTTGCACTAATATGCATGGATACAGCACCACGTCTTATAGTTCGCATTGACTTTTTGTAGCCTATGCTTAATTCATAATGATTAAAATGAAGGGAAATATCTGAAATGTATTTTACTGTGTGTAAAGAGTCTACATGAGTCGATATTTTATACTGAAATATCAAAATGCAAGTTTTTAAATGTACTAAGGTCTCTGCTAATATACTTACACAGGTCATGGATACATTTTTTTTTCTTTGTTTATTTTCTGACCTGAAGCTGAAATTTTCACTGTTTATCTCTTTGCCATCACATAAAACCTCCTTGAACTGCTGTGTTTATATAAAACCCTCATTGCTCCTGCAGGTGAGGAGGGGCGGCTGGCGTATGAGCAGCTGGACACAGTGGTTGGGAATATGATACGCCTGGGCACACGGAGAGGCAACGCCGTCACCACCGCCTTCTGAGCCACCTTCGAATCCCAGCCCTGAGGAGCTCAGACGCTCAGCGTCAAGCACACGCAATGCACACCTACCTGAGCTGCTCTGCTTGATCATCTGAGGACAGGAAGTGGATTCTTGTTTGGAACTGCCTCTTGAAAGAACTAACACCAAACAGACAGTCTTAACACACAACCTGTACCCCTCCTTCATCCAGACTGGGACTCTTTTTACTCTATTAAGAGACACACACTCCTCCATATTTTCCTTGCTTTCTGAGCCAGATAGGGTAGTCGGTGTGAACTGGAAGCAGAGTTGGAACTTGACTGGACCCCAAGCTATTATCACCGCTGCTGCACAGACTGTGCATATATTCCTGCAAAGCATCATCCCCTTAGAAACAAGCACACACTTATTATCAAGGAATCTGTTTATAGCTACAGACCGATATGTCTCTTAATATTTAGTGACATATTTTTTTTATATAATTATGGCGGCATGTTTTAGTTGGTGGTTCTGCATTGTGCTTTCAGAGGATTGCACCATTAAGCTTGTAAATACACCATCTTTAACACAACTGGTTGTGCTCACATTGTAATTTAATCTGTTTTCTGGTACGTTCCAATTGATTTTTTTTTCAGGGATTTTGCAGCAGCCTATAGAGGATGCTTGTTTTATGGGAGTGGGTGATGTCAGAAAGCTGTTTTAAAGCCTTCTGGAGATAAAAGCAGATACCTATGAAAAGCAGATGCCTACTGTTCCACTTGCTCTGCAGTTTTACGCCCAAGCCTTCTTATGCTTGTAGATTAACGTGCAATCTTTGTTTTGTATATATGTGATTTTTGTTCATAATTTTGTTTTTTTGCACCCGGTTCAAGGCGAGAAGCCCGTTGGATAATGTCAGCTTCAACCACATGAGCCTTGGTGAGATCTTGCTGGCAAATTCCTAAAGGTATTTTAGGTATTTTATTTTTTCTTTGTAAATGTAATGTTCCTGCCAGATCAGGGGCAGGTGCAAGATGATAAATCTGGACAGGGATCACTAGAGAACAAATGCTTTAGGATCTGATGAAGAAGATATGACCTGAGTGTTATTGTAGCCTTGTTTATGGCTAGCTGCACATTTTCTGATTTTAATATGAACCAGCTTAATGAAATGCCTTGTTTTTCCACATCCTTAAACTGACCTGGGTAAGGATCTACAGCTGCAGCTCAATAAATTAGAAATTTCTTTGAACATTTGTCGTAGAAGTTTATTTTTGCTCATTTTGACAATTAAGACTTACATTGGTCGTAATTCTCCAAAAAATTAAGCTTCTTAGACCATTGGAAAAATCGTACATAAGACCAAGAAAAGTAGAGTTTTAAATTGGTGCTTTAGGGTAGCTTGGTAGAATGTCCATTCACTGCACATCAGCGCTCCCTTTGCTTTTATTTAAACAGTGTTGCATGGACCATAAATGCCTGGTTGCTTTAATAGCAGCAATCTGTATTACTGGGCCTCTCTTTTAATAATAAAACATATTTCCTCTGAGATTAGAGTCAGGAAAGCTTGTTGTCCAATTGTGTATAGCATAAATCAGCATTTCCACAAAGCGTCTCAGCAAAAGCAAATTGTTTTTTTTGTTTTTTTATGCAACACTTGTTCCTTTTACTAAACTATCCAGTATTATGCATGGATACAACCCCCTGTAGACAGACATCTTTTTTCATTGACATTTCTGTGTTGTTTTTTTTTGTGAAAATCGTCTCTGACTGTCTGCACAACGTGTCTGCATAATTTTCCCATCGCTTGTTAGGTTGTAATTTGGCCTTTTATAATTCATATGTATAAAGTATTTTTTCTCTGAGAGGCTGAATTTAAGGCTTTAATCAGCTGTATGCAGATATGATCAAAAGGAACATACATCACTATGGTGAGTTTACACAAGGGTGACTTTTTAAATTTGAAGTATTCAAATAAATTAGCTTTTGATGTTCTAATTTATTGAGTTGCACTTGTAATGCCTGCTTTTATCATGCTAACTGTACTACTGAGTCATGTGCTAATAATGCACTGGGACAAAAACATATTAGAACCCATTTCCTATTTATTTAATACTTGTTACTTGTTATTCTACTCTCTTACTGTAGTAGTGCAGGAAAAAAAGTTTTGTGAAATATTTGCATATTTATGTTTTTTTCCAGAGCTAATATTTGAACTATTGACCTCAATGTTTTTTTATGGTCTTGTAAAGTGATGCTTAATTTTAATTGGAGTTTATTTTGTAAGAAATATGATTGATTTGCTAAAATAGTATCTTTTCTTCATTGAAGTGTCACAGAAATGTTGAGACTCCTATATATTTATAAATGTTACTTTATTAGCTAGAGGTTTACTGTAACCAAAGGATATTTGATTATAATTTTGACCTTTCCACAAAAAGAGCTAATCCAATAGAATGTATTTTCAATAAAACATTTGCATTAAGGCCAGAACTTTGATCTAAAATGAAAAGCACAACAAACTGTAACCCTGAATAGATGGATCTTTAGATTTAACTTCCTGATCGACCTTAAAGCCATATTGATGAATTTTCTTATTCATTGTATTTTTTTTCTGTATTATCTGTAAATGTGTGAACTGTTACTAAAATACCATCATGTTTTTCTATACCCATTTTGCAAAATACTGTCCAAATCTGAAGCAATTTTTATTTCTTTTTGTGCATATATCAGTTCAGTATTTTTTAACCTAGTATCTAAATTAACCCACTTGTCTGTATATAGCATTTTCCTTTTTATGAACTTGCAGTTGACCAGTGTTTATAATTAGTGGGCCATGTGAATCCTAAGCACTGATAAGTACAAGCAAGCAAAAGTGTGCACATGTGGAGTTTAGTTTTAACACTTTGCTGAAATTGAAATGTATGTGGTCCATAGCTTCAACACTGATCCATCTACTAATCTGTTGTAGTCAGCAGTATTTCCTGTGCTCCAATATTGTAATAAAGTATATTTTTGCATATTTAACATTTTGTTTGGAATCTTTCTATATTGTTAATCAGGAGCTGGTCAAAATTGTGCAAACAAGTGTTTGCAGTTAATAGAAAATCCTTTCAGTGTCCAGCTCAGATGCTTAATAGGGAAACTGGTTCGGCTGCGCAAAAAAAACTTAATGGCCTAAATTATGCAGACTGGACCCAAAATTATACAATGTAGAAAAATTACAAAACTGCCAGGTAAAACATTGAGTCTGCGACACAGGCTGGCTTAGAACTTTTCCATATGAGACTGAGATTTTCCTTTTCCCACCTCCCCCCTTAAAATTTAACATGCACTTTTCTGTTCAGTCTCAAATTGAAGCTCAGGTTTTTTAAACCAGTTGGAAGGGAATGGAAAGATTTGCTAGCATCAGAATCTTGTGCTAGCAAATCTATTCAAATTGAATTTGCCATTTATGACCTGCAAAATCTGGATGCTTTACCAAATCACTCCTTTGGCTTTCACATTTCAGGGATTGACTGATTTGTGCAGTATATAATTTAGCTCCAAAGGAGTGAGCTGAAGTATAAAACACCCCTTTAATTTTGTTATGTATACTCTTTGGTTATAACCAAAGATTTAGCTATATTTTAATGTCAGTTGCAGGCCAACAGTGCAAGCAGGTAGATCTGTGCATCGAAAGACATTACAGTCATTAAAAAGCTTGACCCATTAGATACCCTTCTTTTTAATCATCTCCTCTAAAAGGTTTTGAAGTGGTTCCATCAAATTGAATTTAAACCCATTTCAACAGTCTTGCTCTATATAGTGAGGACCATGCATGGACTCATTTTAACACTAGTCACACCTTTCTAAAAAGATTTGCAAGGGGAACTGAGGACCAACAAAAGGGCCTCAGTTTGATAGTCAAGTCAGAAATACAGAACTCACTGATTACAGGACAAAAGCAAACACTTTATGTAAAGCGCTGCAAAAAGGGACACAAGCCAGAATCAGAGTATCATTTAAAACCTTTATTGTACAGATTATGTACAAAATCAATTATAGCAGCTTGAAAAACTGGCTCCAATAATAACCAGATCTAAAACTTTAAAATCAGGTTATGAAAAAACATTTTAAGACTTCAGGACTTCTCTTCTGTGAAAGCTGCCCAGCACTCAGTAAAACTAACAACCAATTAACTGACTAAACATCCCCACCCAAGTTAGTCAGGATGTTGTGGTTGAAAAATAACCCCCCCACCCCACAGGGAAGAAAAAAAAAAAAATATTCAGAACATTTTAAAGAAGTCCGCTGGATGTTAAATTAAGGAGTGCAAAAAAAAAAAAAAGCCACCAATGAAAAGCTTGTCAAATGATGAAAAGCTTGTCTCCTTCAGTCAATTTAATCCTGATCTTCTGCTTCTTCAAGGTCTGATGTGTCCCCAGCACTGTAGTCCGCTTCATCTTGCTCATAGGCATTCACATCCTCTTCTTCCACACCAAGAGCAATGTCCTTTATTTCTTCCAGGTTTTCTGGGCACTTCCCCGTCAGCCTCTATAAAATAGAAGATGCATGTTATGTGTAGCAAGACACTTCGCCCTCACACAATGAAAATACCTCAACCCTTATGACAGGCATCCCCAAAGTCGGTCCTCGAGGGCCGCTGTCCTGCAGGTTTTAGAGGTTTCCTTGTTTTAGCACAGCTGATTATGATGACTGAAGTCGAGCAACAGCCTGTTAATCAGCTTTCAATTAAAATCAGCTGTGCTGGAGCAAGGAAATCTCTAAAACCTGCCGGACAGCGGCCCTTTAGGACCGACTTTGGGGATGCCTGCCTTATGGGATAGTGCACGAATAAAAATCTGTCATATGTCCCAATTTACAAATTAATTTGTAGCTCTCCAGCTGATTGTATAAACAAAAAGGTGTGCAGTAACAAGTCTAAGGATAGTTTTATACATCCAACCTTTTCCCATCAGATTTCCTACTGCCAACTTGTAGCAGAAAGGCTGCACACTTCTGCAAGAGTCCCCTGGTGTTCAGCATAATTTACACTAGAAGTTTCCTCTACACAATCTCAAAAATGAAGTGCAAGAGTACAAACCTCAATCATGTCAGCCATGTACTGCACATGTTGTGCCAGCTCCTGCAGCTCTTCGTTTTCAGACTGAAGCTTGCTAATCTGTTCATCTCTGGCCTCAATGTCTTTGTGCAACTGGTTTCAAGAGAAAGACATTTTAGCAAAGCACAGGATAAGTTTACTGAACTAAGTTTTAAAAGCACTGCAACAAAGTTTTAGTCTTACAAGACTGAACATTAGACAAGAGTATGAGGTGGTACAAACTCCCAACTAATGACTGAATAAGTTTACTGCCATCTGGACTGGTTCCCTCCCAGGGTCAAGTCAGAGTGTGGGAACATTCAGAAAGCTAAACATTATCTGCAACCTTGTGATCAACTCACCTTCTCATTCTCCTGTAGGACATTGTACAGAGCCTTTCGCCGTTCCTCTGCCACCTCTTTCCAGTAAGAAGAAGGTGGAGTTTCTAAAAGTTCAGAGATCAGTGTATTTTTAAAAGAACTTAGAAATGTACAACATTTACAGAAGTGATCAGAAATTTACCTTTGACCATAAGCTCATATGCTTCATTGGACAGGCCATCTGGCAAACAATCAGCTTCTTCTGTTTGTGTGGATTTGACTTCTACTTTAACCCTCTTAAGACCTCTAGACTGGTCCAGTATAAAGTGTTTCCGCTTAGAAATAGCCTTCCCCGTCTGAAATAGAAGAGCCCAGTTAGAACTGTAATCAGAAAGTACAATAGAAAAACCCTTTATTTTAAATAATATTTATGGTCGCAGAGCATACCTGAAGAGATTTAAAACTTGTGTTGACTGCTGAAGGCTGGATGACCTGCAGGCTTTGCCTCGATTGCCCAACTGCCCTTTGAGATGGTGCAAAAAAGCTCTGGAAGGCAAATTTACCATTAGAGCTCCAGCAATCAAATCCACAAATTCTTGCAACTTCATGCTGAAACTTTCATATTAAATCGTTAAATATTAGACTTATGGTGCAATGTTTAGTACATTAATGCAAGCCACAGCATATACATCAAGTTTAATAAATGGTTTGATTTCAACCATTTAGTCATTTTATTATATTCCAAACTAATTTACAGAAAAGGCTGCAGCACATTTGTGAGAATCATTGTTCATATAAATATCACAATAAGAACTCCTGAAATGACAATTTACAGTTCAGCCAAAAAGTTAAATTCAAGGCAGCAAATGCTTGTCAGAGGAAAGCATTTGGTGAAGCTTTAATTTTTTTTAGAAATTCACATCACCTGGTAAGATGCCCTAGTTAAAATTTCACCAAAGGAAGGTGTTAGAGACCTCTTCTAATAAAAACAGCTGCCACATGCTCAAGGGCAGGGCAAGGAGTCGTGGGAAAGTTCCTCTTGGATGCCCATTAAAGAGCAACCGCTCAGTTAATGTTTGGCTAAACCTAAACAGGACCATTGTTTTAGGACATAATCTAATCTTCTAGAGATTTTAAACAATCCGAGAGCCTGAAGTAAGACCTGTAATCATTTAAAGATGACACGTGTTGCTAATGCTCATTTGTTACAACTCCATCCCTCATACTTTATTTAGAAACTTTACAGCTGGGTTGTAGAACTAATAAGTACACCCATACCCACGTCATTTCAACAATATGACCAATGTGCAGTTTAGCTTCAGATGTAATAAAAATCCCCTTTTTATAAAGTCAATTGGGGTTTTACCCAAGCCAACTCTGAAGTAATTCGATAATAATGAATATAAAAATTCTTAACCCCCCGCCCAATATGAAATGCTTCTGAATTACCTTTATGTTCTCATTGGACCTCTGCTGCTTCAAGCCTCCAGTCGAATTCATTTTCTTTCCGAAATCCTAATAAGTTAAACAAGTCAAAAATTCAAACGCTCATTCTTTTAAATAAAACCAAAAATGGTCTAGCTAAGAGTAAAATTCGATTTTGGTCAACTAAATTGGAATATCAACAAAAAAGGAGAACGCACTGCATGCTAAAAACAAGCTAATTCAATGACTGTGCTAACGTTAGCGCTACTCGTCAATATATATACAGTTAATTTATCCCTGGGGACCACCATGCTGGGTAACGTGTCATTTTATATCCAAGTTAAATTCAAAAGCTCCATTATTGTAACCGTAACACTCACCTTTGAACAATCTTATCAAAACTCCTCGCTAGGCTTGTTTTTTTTTTCTTTTCCAACTGAAGAATCTCGCGCCAGGGTCTTAAATACGCACACCAAGTCACGTGTAAAACAACCAATCACTGTGGAGAATGTTACGCCCCTCTTTTCTCCTTCAAAGGAGATACTCACGCGAGAGGCGCAGAATGGATTCCCTGCGTACGGGAATTGCCCTGCCATATTATGAGTGGCAAAAGCTGTATCAATCTTTCCGAACTGACTCTTTGTTAATAAAACGTCTCATTAACGGAGACTCGGTTAGTGGGAAAGCTCTGTATTTTCGATCAATTGGGGATACTCAGTGCTTCACAAAGGAGTTGTTTCAGGCGCAAACCTGCCACACACAATATGGCGGACGGCGCGTATATTATTTTTTTAATGCATCAACGTCGTGTCAAGTCACTTGTCAACTTTCTACTTCTAAATGTTTTTTTATTTAATAAAAGTCCTTAAGAAAACGAAATTTATATAAAGAATATAAGATTTATTAACTTAATTATTATAATTTTTTTTTTTTTTTTTTTTTTTGTGGGAGAAAATTCCGATGCACACTCCATTCCAGTAGATAGCGGTAATGAGCACATAAGTTGCATTCATAACCGCCATGAAAAAAAAAGAAGAAGAGGAAGTCACGCGTCATATTAGTACTGGTTATTTGTTACTGCCTGAGCAGCCATTTTAAGGGGGAAGGCAGAGGAGCCGTCGGGTGCTAATGTGCTGCTATTAGCCGCCCTACATACACACAAAGAAAGCGAACGGGGACTGCACGTCGTTAAATATGGGCCCTCCAGGAGACAGAACACACCACACATCGACTGATAGAACGGGGGATCTCCGCTGGATGGTCGATTTATCTTGACATGGCATGCGGCGGGGCGAGCCGGAGGTTGTGACGACTGAAGAAAAGAAGAGAAAGCACTAGCTCGACGCGTCAGACGTCGACAGAGAGGGGGGGCCGAGATATTTTGTTTAGCTAACGTTTGTATCGCAGCTCAGCGTTCACTTTTAACATATTACCAACCGATTCATGTGTCAAAATCGTTGACATAATTTGAATACTATGGAGCTGAAGTAGTGAGCGCAAACAAAAACGGCTACAGAGGAACCCTGAGTCAGTCTTTAAATAATAACAGTGAGCAAGACAATGTAAGAAAGGCGTGGTAAAAATGACTGACCACACATAAAGAGCCTCAGTTAAGCCAGTCTGTCTTAAAAGAAGATGTAGCTTTAATCACAGGTTCACTACTAGTTAGTGTCAGAATGAATACCTAGGTTGACTTGCTTGCTTGCTAGCTAGCTAGCAGACCTTAGCCAGTGAGCTAAAAATAACGCCCGCATCATGACTATCAGCTGTGGCAGCAGCACGAGCCCAGGGCCGGATGAGTGACGGCATAAGTTCAGGAAATGTCGGTTTACTTTCGCTGTAGTCTTCGATGTTGCCGGGTGCCTGGATCTGTCGGCATCTGTGTCTACCTGCCATGTTCGTCTGCATCCCCAGTCCGCCTGTGACACGCTTATAACGGTCTGTGTTCAGAGAAACAAAACAAAAAATAAAACCGCAGCCATGGATCAGGGATTCTGAGATGACCCAGTTAACAGAATATCGCTGTAGTTCACAATCTCACTAGCACAAAGAACATAAAACAAGGAAAGTCACCAATATGCGTTTTGTTTAGTAGCAGACTCTATTAGTCTAAGTTAACATTTGTAAAAGAGAGCCACATTTAAGTTGCTGTTTTCTTGAAATCTGTTGTGTTCATTTTCAGTGGCAGTTAAAAAAAACAACAGCTAATTTGGCTGGAAAGCCACATCTTAAAACATGGGTTTTTGATTAGGTATCAATGTGATGGAGTCTTAGTCTGTTGACCATTCCTTGCCTCAAAACTGCCCTTTTTGTTTTTGGAAACAACCACATATTGACATGACGTAGTTTAATCTCTGATTTGTTGGTCTTTTAAGTTCATAGCTGGAGGTTAGAAGATATAGTTTTGATGCATTGTCAGCTCCACCCTTAAACGCGTACAAAAAAAAAAGAACTAGTGTCACTAAAGTATACTACACAAGAGGAATAGACGCTGCCAACAAAATCTAACCATGGGGGACCCAACGTCAAGAAGAAACCAAACAAGAAACCGTCTTCGAGCTCAGCTTCGAAAGAAAAGGGAATCTTTGGCTGATCAGTTTGACTTTAAGATCTATATAGCCTTCGTTTTCAAGGAAAAGGTTTGTCAACAATTTGGCATTAGTCCATGGTGTTTAGACCGGAGATGCACCAGTCAGTTGGCCAGAAATGAAAATCAGCTGATTTTTATTTACTTTTAATAACACTGGGAATTGGTGGAAACATAATTAGTTTCAGGGTTTTCCAGGACATGTACATGCAAGAAAAACATGAATAATTGTATTCTTTCCCTTTTTTGCTTCATGTGTCATTCCTTGTTTGATTCCTCCATTACCAATTCCGTAAAAATTCAAAAAACATCCACTGGACTTGGTTTTCAAGATTTTTCTCATTTTCATTTTGAAGTGAGAAAGCTTCCTGGAGAGGTGGCGAAACGTCTTCAAATCTTGAAAACCAAGTCCAGTGGATATTTTTTGAATTTTTACGGAATGACTATGACCTGGCTGACTGAGAACCTTCATCTCCATTCCCAATTGCCCTTACCTCCTTAGGTCCTCCATTCTTGTCTTGTCTTCCCTCCTTGAATTGGCAAGTCAGACCTAAAAAAAAAAAGTTAGAGAGATATCTATTAATCCATAAAATCCTGACTGGTGCATCTCCAGAATATCTCCCCAAAGTTCCTCCTGTGCAAAACTAAAATTAGCTTGCTTTTTTTTTTTCACAGAAGAAGAAGTCTGCACTTTTTGAGGTAGCTGAAGTGGTGCCTGTGATGACCAACAACTATGAAGAAAACATCCTACGGGGCGTTCGCAATTCAAGCTACTCCCTGGAGAGTTCGATAGAGCTGCTTCAAAAAGATGTCGTGCAACTGCACGCCCCAAGATACCAGTCAATGCGAAGGGTAAGACTCAACCATATATCAAAGTCCCCATTAATGTGTTAACCAAAAATACAGTTGCTACAACATTTACTACTACTACTACTTTTTTTTTAGGATGTGATTGGCTGCACACAGGAAATGGATTTTATCCTTTGGCCACGCAATGATATTGAGAAGATTGTATGTCTGCTGTTCTCCAGATGGAAAGGGGCTGACGATGAGCCCTTCAGGCCTGTGCAGGTCTGACCTTTGTTTCTATGCAAATACATCTCACCTAAAAAAAATGCACTTCCTCACATTTTTGTAAATATTGAATTCTGTCTTTGTGTGACGAATCTGAAAATATGACACTAAAAACAATGTAGGTAGTGTATAGCTTGTTAAACTTTAAATGGTTTGCACTCTCAAAATAACTCAAAGCACAGCTATTGCTGTCTAACCCACAGGCAACTAAAGACTCGTTAGTGTTGATATAAAAAGAAGAGCCTAAACAATAAGGGATTTTTTTAAGGCTAATATCAGTTTTGGGGCTTTTAATAAAACAATATCCGATATATTGGCGGATATCAGATGTATATCATCCAGAATATAAAAATAAGATAAAAAAAACGAAACATGGACAAACATGAAATATGCACTGTCCAACTACAGTCCAATTCAAATTCTCATGATAACCAAAAATATGTTTCAAGATAAAGAAACAGAAAATAGAGCTATAGAATTAAAATATGCAACTTTAATTTGAACAGTGTCACCATAAGACTATAAGATTAATTTATGTGGTGCTGATTTGGATATTTCCTGAAATCTGTGTTTTGGTTTTTTTTCTCCTTACTGGTGCTGGAACCCTGACTAACTTTAACACTGCAGATTATGCATCCAACAGCTGTTACATCCTTCATGAAGTGGCTCCACACCTGACTGTTTCCCTCTCACTGGGAAATGTAAATATATACATTTAGTGTTATTTGCTAATTAGATTTCAATTCTACAGATGAGCATTTGAAAATAAAAACAAGTGCCTGAATACAGTTTATAGTAATAACACACAGGCTAATGGGAGGTGTTTTGTATCTTATTCTTTCACAAAAACTCCACAGAAATATAACTTTGTCATATTTACAAGTAACGGAAAAGTTCCCTCCTCCACTAAACAGAAGCTACTAAACTAGATTTAAGTAGCCATGCTGCAGGTTTTTAACTATCCAAACAGGATTACAACTAAATACAGTAGTTTGAGCCTTTAAAAATGTGTTTAATTAAAAAATTTACTTCTAAATTTATTTGCCCCAGTATAGTCTGCATGGGGGAACAATAGGCAGTGGGGGGCTAATTTGGTTAATAATCCCTGCTGGTCTTGGAATTGTTAGCTGTCAGAGTTGGATACCTTACTTTGAATTAATATTGCTGGAGATTCCCAGTAATTCCAGGTACAGACCAGTGATTACTAATTCAATGTTAATCTTTAACACAAAATTTTCTGCAAGTCTCATTTCTTACCTGATTGCTCTTAAGGAAGCTGGAGATTACTCTTTTTTTTTTTTTTCCCTTCTTCATTTTACCCAAATTCACAAACTCTTATCAGTTATGTTGAAAAAAATATAAATATATAAATCCTAGTCCACAAACATCCTTGTTCACATGTTCACTTAAATGTTCCCGTTGTTTTTTCACGTTTATGGATTGCATCTAAAAATATCAAACATATTTTCCATTCAAACCATAGATATGAAATAAAGCATTATAGCAAACAATGGCTAAAGTATATGGGTGTCAGTTTAGTTTAGTTTGTCTGTAGGAATTTAAAATATCCAGCAGGTGTCAGTATTCAGTTACACAGTATGGACACAATGTCAATACAGTCTGCAGATGTGTCGAAACGCTTCATGACACCTCATGGACTCATCACTAACGGACAGTAGTGTCCCAAAGAACAAAAACTCTCCAAAATAATCCTATAGTTATCAGTCATTCAATGAGTTTTCATAATCTATTCAAAGTTTCAAACTTACCTGTTTGCAAACAGCGCAACATGCTTGTTCCAATCGATGAAATTGTCCATAGGGATATTAAATGTTACACCAATGACAGCGCCCCTCCATGCTGCGTCACACCGACGTGTGGCCAATAGGATGCGACCCTCACGATTTGCGAGATGTGAGCTTAGCACAAGATTTCACGAGACTACATGGGAAAGTCAAGATGGCGGCCCGGTGGAGAACAGATTGGCAGATTTTGTTTGGCAAGTATTTGAGAAAAGTTTCCGGGGGTAGGGGGGAGCGTACAATCTGTCCTTTTTTTTAAGTAAAGGCTGTGTGGTTGGCTAGCTAAAAACCTGATTTCAGCATGAAGTGTTGTTTGACACAATGTGATAATTTTATTTTCCTTCTAAAATTATGTTTATTTCACAAAGAGGTAATAATTACACAGTGCTAAAATCCTAATGCCGTTGCCAAAGCTGGTGCATATAAAACTCGTCTGCTCTCCTTAATGCGTCCTAACAGCGTGTTTCCACGGGGACATATGATGTCTTGGGGCACTAAAGTGTAGTTTTGCAACATCACACCTTACCATGGATTAAAGTGTATACTTTCTCCCTCTCCGTCCAACTCCCATGCTTACGCTAGCTCCAACAGTGAGTGTGTGCTTGTGGGGTTAGGCCGTTCAGAGAGAGCTCATTGAGGGGAGGGGCAGCATGGAGTGCAATCAGTGCAGTGATGAAGTTTCTTTCAACTGATTTCAGCAAAAATAGGTTTTAGAATTTTTAAATCAGCCACATTTTCGCCAATGTCGATAAATGAGCCAGACGGCAAAATCGGCTGATAAATTGGCCTGCCGATGATGTTTGTTGTTTTGTTTAACATTAGAAGACTCGTTTTTTGCAAAGTTTTAAGCATCACACTCTCCACTGAGATACTGTTAAAGAATTTCTGGCTGTTTCTCTGTCAGAACAATGACCAGTGCTACTACTAGGGAAGTGGAGCTCTCAGGATTACGTTGCCACCACCATGCCTAAAGCCAGTAAAATATTCTGTCCAGTTCTTGACTCGTACACACATTGTTGTGCCTGACTTTTTTTCCATAGCACTTTCTGTAGAAAACTGGATTTGTCATTTGTGTACTATATTTGTTTTACTAAGTTTGTTTTCACTTTGGAGGGTGTTTTTTTTTTTTCTTGGTCTGGGACAGAAAACCCAGGTGAACATCGGGTTTCACTTTAAAATATATTTCAGCTGCCTAGATTTTGAATATAGATTTGTTCTTTCCTTCCACAGGCCAAGTTTGAATTTCATCACGGAGACTATGAGAAGCAATGCTTGCATGCCTTGGGTCGTAAAGACAAAGCTGGAATGGTCATGAACAACCCAACTCAGTCTGTGTTTCTCTTCATGGACAGACAACATCTGCAGGTCAGTCTACTCAGACATGATGAAATAACAGCTCTAAGAAGTTAAAACACTGTTCTAACACAACATTTTACTTCTTGTGTTTTTTTTAGACTCCTAAAACCAAGGCGACGGTTTTCAAGTTGTGCAGCCTGTGCCTGTACTTGCCCCAGGACCAGCTGACCTGCTGGGGTGTGGGAGACATCGAGGATCACCTCCGCCCATACATGCCTGATTAAGGCTTCTCGCTCACCCAGTCACACAGAGACGAGCCTTTTCCCGTCCTCCCTTCCTTCCCTAAGGCTTCAGAAGCAAATTGATGTACTCATCTCCTCCCTGTCCCTTTGAACTTGTGCTTGGATCTCCCTTTTTGTTCTCCACTCATTCTCCCTCTGACCTGAAGCCCATTTGCTTCCCATTCTTTACTCCCCACCATCTTCCCAGTGTGTGTCCCAATACTTTCTGCCATTTTTGGATCAGCTCTGACATTTTTTACTTTATTTCATTCCCTTTTCCTTACTCACCTGTTTTATTCTTTTTGTTTTGATTATTATTTGAACCTGCACGGACATTGATTTTTGAGTGGTTGGTTGTTCTATTGGAGCCACACAGTCAACAGCATTGGTCACTGAATGAACTCTTTATGTTGCATCTAAACTGGAACAAACAACACACAAGTCATGGTTGTTACGATGGACATGCCTTATATCCTTGATATGATAAGGAAGGATTGTTAACGCTTGTTTTGTAATGTAACTAGGGCTTCTAAAACAAGTTTAGACCTTTTTTTTTGCCCAGGATAGGCATGAGCAGGTTTTAAAAACACCTGTATTGGCAAAGATAACAAGAGCCACAGTGTTTGTCAAATCATACGGTGTAGGTATCGCTTCTTATAAACTGCCTTAGTTTTTTCTTTTCTTTTTTGCTGGACTTAAAAATGTGTTTTGTAATTTTCTTTTCTCAGAAACATTACTAAACAGGCCTTTGATTAAAAATCTTGAATATCTCAAAAGGCGTTGAGCAAAAAGTTGAGACAGGTTGGTATGTTGTCAAATTTGATTTCTCATTCATGCACTATTTCATTTAAGCTACTGAAATCAGTTTTTATGCTTCGTTTGAGGGATGTGGGTTGGTGACTAACTGCAATGGTAACAGATTTGATCGTAATAAACGTAACAAATAAAAACCTAACAAATTTCTGTTTAAATTTGATCTACTAAAGAAAAAATTTAAAAAAAAAATCTGCCAAGCTTCTTTGAATTAAAACTGAGTTTTGAAGTGTTTGCTGTTTTGAAGACTTATGAAGTTCTCTGTTAAGTTTCTGCTCCTTCCTGATTCAATGTGTTTTAGTTGGAAAGGCGTTTAAGGCATGTCATTTTGGGGTTTTGATTTTTCTGTTCTCTAATCTTTACTGCTGAGCATATCTCAATACAGTGCAAAGTCTGAAACACCGACTCTTTGTCCAGCTGGCTTTATTGCATGTACAAGAAACATCCAATGCTCCATGTTCCTAACAACAATACTCAAAAGTTGTGAAAGTAAAGGCAGAACCTTTTTCTGCAAACGTCTCCACTTTAAGAATCCCACATTTTTAATGCATATTGTACAACGTCCACTAGGAGGGACGCCCTAGCTGCTGCCGAGGTGTTTTGTATGTCTTCCTTGTGCAATAAGCTTCCCTGTGGCTTTGCTGGTGAGATCTACAGTTGCAAATGCCAGCGTTCTCCCCTGCTTCAGGACTTGTGCAGTGATGAGCACGTCTTCCCCCATCTTGGCAGCATTCATGTATCTGGAACATAGTGACATTTGTACACCCACATTAATGCTTTATAATTCTCGCTATAAATTTGAATTTAGTTTAACAGCAACAAAATACCAATGTTTTAAAAAGGAAAAGGTACAAAATCAGTTTAAATATATTTTATAGACATGTCAACTAAATAATGCATATTAAATGTTGCACACATCAGAACACATGTAGGGCTATAAAGTGGACATTTGTAGCAAATCAGCTACAGAGGTTTTGCCTACATAGATCTCAGAATAAGTATTCACACCCCTTTGAACTTTTTCACATTTTCTCCATAAGCTCCCCAGAGTTACCATCAGCCTATTGACTAGATGCACTTTTTTTGTGGTACCATAATAAAAGGGGCCAAAAGCTTTATTTTAATGAATGCAGAAAACGTCAATTGATAATGCATTGGGGTATGTCTGGAAAATAATAAATTACTGAAGCATATATTAACTTACGTTATATTCATGTCCACGCTGACCCCTGGGGCTCCTCTGTCGCTGTACATAATGGCCATGGTGGAAATGACGTCTACCAGGGTGGCTGTCATCCCGCCGTGCATCGTCCCTCCTCGGTTAGTGTGCTCCTCATCCACCCGCATCTCACACACCACCTTCCCGGGACTCGCAGACACAACATCCACCTGCAGACAACAAACATCCACGGTTTGAAAACACAAACCTTCAGAGCTCAGTTTGGACATTTCGGTTTTAAATTTACCTTACTCAAGACTCTGTCAAATCCCGGGTTGTCAACCATCGCTCTCATTAATTGTTTTAAAGAGTTTAAAGTAAGTGAACCCATGTTTGACGGTTAAAAATAAGGCCAATGTCAAAGTTGTTTTTTCCCCACAGGAAGTTGTTACGTTTTATAAATCTTCCGGGTAGAACCTGAGTCAAAAGTAGCGCAGGATGATAGGGGAAAAAAAAAAACAGCACTGATATTTCTACTTATTGATATACATTTCTGTATGTTTACTCTCTATGTTTGTCACTCTTAAGTATGTATATTTTTTTCGTTTAGATCTAATTTCCTGAACCGCTGCGCCTCTACACTGAGATTTATTGCTCCATTCTCACTCTATGGTGCATTCAAGTCATTTCAAAAGTATATCTAGATTAAAACCAATGAGAAAATGAGTCACAAAACTGTGATCAGCCAATCACTGTAATCAGTCATAACATTATGGAAACTGACTGCAGTTATCAGCTGGTAACCCCAAAAACTCTTTCTGGATTATCTGACCAGACCAAAAAGAAGCCTTTTATTCCCTTTAAATCTTCAAGATAATTCAATTTTAACTTTGTCATTACATTGTCAACTACAAAGCAACAAAATGAAGTCTCTGCATTTAACCCATCCCCCTTGTGGAGCAGTGGGCTGCCATTGTGCATCGCCCTGGGAGCGGTATGGGGTTAAGGGTTCTGCTCAGGGATCCAGAGTGCAGGGGTGGAGCTAAATGGGGGGCCATGGGTGGCCATGGTCACCCTTAGCCATTCCTTGGCCACTGCTGTGGCCAACCCTACCATTATTTTTCCCTTCTAAAGGTTTATTTATACTTGGAATCTAGGTTGTCTGCATAGGTGTCGCAGTGAACAACAAGACATCCCCGCCCCCTCCACAGACACTCTGCTGCACCTCTCCCAAATTGTAGGTGAGCTCAGACAGTGCCACAGACAGGAAGCCGGCTTGTTTTGTTTTTATGACCGAAATTACGGGAAAAAAACTCGTGAAGATGGACCAGCTAGAAGACCGAGGTGCTCGAGAACGCTGAGTATTGATTATGTTGGGTTAAGTTAAACAGTTTTTTTGTTTTCTGGGGAGAGTTGTTTCCCGTTTCCTTGCTTAACTCCTTATCAGTTGGTGGCGGTAATGCACTTTTCACTAGTTTGCAAACCGCCATAAAACCTCACAAGAAGAAGAAGAACGAAACTTTGCACAGCGCCGGAGGTATTTCACTGTTACACGTACCCGGGCTGGTTTTCAAACAAGGAGCGAAAATGGTTTAGTAGTTCATATTCTTCTCTATCGTCCACTTATTAAAGCTCTTGCTGCGACAGCAATGGCTTCTACATCAAACACGGACACGCCGTCTGTGTCTGATGTGGAAAAAAGCAGGAGTGGACTCTGCGAGGAGTTCGCTGCCATAACGGGAACTGATAGCGCCGTGGCTCAATGCTACCTGGCTGAGAATGACTGGGAGATGGAGGTTAGTCAGAGGCAACAGCTGCTGCCCATTTGATTGATTTGGTCACCGCATGTGGGTGGGGAGAAAAACTATAACCTAATACCTACAGATTCAACTGGAAAGGTTTAATTTACACCATAAATTTATAACTAGGTTTGTTTTTTTCTGTATATATTTTTACAGAGGGCTATAAACTCATTCTTTGAAGCAGACATGGAGAGAATATTTGAAGAGGACTTTGAGGAGAGTGACAGCATCCCTCAAAAAAAGAAGCAAAAGGTCCAGAAAGAATCTCCTAAGGAGTGGTAAGTCAACTCTTTTCGCCACATAGTTTCTAATTCTGGTGGATTTAAGTTTAATGCAGTTATTCCAATCTCTGAAAACATTTCCAGCATCGATTTAACTGGAGAGAGTCCAGCTGCACGAAAACCATCGGATGAAGAAAATGAAAAACTGTCCCTGATCTCCTGGAACGTAGATGGACTGGACACAGACAATCTGGCAGAGCGTGCTAGAAGCCTCTGTTCATATTTAGTCTTGTAAGTAACTCCAGCCTTAAAGCTATGAGTCACTGACTGGATCCAACTCATCATAAGAGTTGGAGAGATTAAAAAATAACATTCTGCCAAACTATTTATATCCAATGAATATTTCACATTTAGCTACACAGTTTATTTTTTATGTGATATATCAACATACAGTTTAGTTATAGAATGAAAATGTAATGTTATATGATTTTAGTTACCGGTAATTTATTTTTTGTACCAAATGTGGCATGCATTCCTGGCTAGCTTCCTGACTAAATGCCTTTTAGAATTTCATTTTTTTTGTCTGCATATCATTTGAGGAGCATCTCTACCGGCTTTGCACATATATAGACAGACATGTTTCCCCCAAAATAGGATAAGAATCAGTTTTATTCACCATACTAGTAAACACCAACAATACATTTGATTTTGGTTCTTTTTTTGCTCTTAGTCAAGGCATTTAAATGCAGTAAGTGTGTTTTTACAAATAAAGACCATGAGGTTGATTAGATGCGTACATGGCCACGTCCTTCACATTACAGGGTTTCCGCGGGTCATTAAAAATCATTAAAAGTAATTGAATAATAATTTTTTTAATTAAGGCCTTAATTGGCATTAAAATTCATTAAATGTGATTATTGTGGCATTTAAAGTGCTTTATTTAAAAAAACAATTTCATCAGATATATCAGATTTAACTGCTTCTGCATTTTTGCACGGAACTGCTTCCTGTCAACCGTAAAGCCGTGTTTTCCGAAAAAGAAGCTCTAGGCGGAGAAAAAGCTAGAGAACGAAACAAGTGTCTGGAAAATTAGGAATTAGGGACATGGCTGCAGCCTGTCGATGGTAAAGATGATGCAGGATTTTGCCTTGTTTTATACATGTATATATAAAAGTCATGGGTACCTTTTGATGGCATTAAAATTATTTCTAAGAGCGTTAAAAAGCATTGAATTAGAGTTACTCATTCCTGTAGAAACCATGCATTGAGAAGAATATTTTTTCTGTTGCCTAGCAACCTGAGATTAACATGTTTTTTTTGTTTTTTTAGATATGTCAAAAATTTCAAGAACATTTTTGCAAATTTAGTATTTAATTTGAAAGAAAACAACAAATGGGATGCAATAAAACGTCATTGTGCCAAACGGTTCACCCTTACCCTAAGTCAGTAACTCTTAGAGCCAACTTTTGAAGCCATTGCTTTTGCAAGCTTGCCACCAGGATCTTTGTCAACTGAGTGAGACTGATCCAGATCCTTTATATGTTGGCTGGTTTTGGCTTGTGAACAGCAATCTTAAGGTTTAACCACAAACTCCGACTCTTAAATGTTTACCCTCTAACTGCCACAGTGATGTTTTGGTATTAATTTAAGGAATATGAAAAGAAAACATCTCGTTAAATGCAATAATCCCCACGAAATATTATTTAATCATTTGGAAAATTACTTAGTAGTTCACATCAGTTATTACTCTTCACACTATCCAATATGTTTAGCTTAAGTGTTGTTTTACTCCATTACTATTAACAGGTTTAGTGGACCACTTTTTAAAGTAGTAGAAGAATGATTTCATCAATTAGCTCTAATAATTTTATTTCCCCAGTGTCCATGATTTTTGCTTCAAACCTCATCCGTTTTTCCTTTCTGCTAATTACAGCTGAATATAACTTTTAATTCTTAATTCCTTACACATATTAAGAGTTTAGTTTATATTTATAATTGTAAAACACATGCAGGTTAACTCTTGCAAAAGGGATAGAAAGAATGAATATGTGATCATACCAACTACAATGTATTGCCAACTGATGTGCTAAGCATGCAAATATGAAAAGCTCTAATTTAAAAATCCCCATCCAGCTTTCCCATGACTAACCAGTTTCCCTTTCTGCTCCTAGAAAGTATCCCCAGGAAATAATGCCGTCACCATGTTCAATCTATGCCAACTACAAGCATGTAGATGTTTCACTCCAGGTTTTCATGAACTTTAAGTGTCCACGGTTGCTTTACTTTACTTTAAATGTGTTACTGCTGCCTAAAGGGCTGAAGAGAGATTATCAGTATTCTGTAAAAAAAAAAAAAAAAAGAAGAAGGAAATCTAGTCGAACCAAATGGAGAGCCTCTGCTGTTTGAAATGAGTAGCCCTGAATCTACAGGGCTCATAGACCTTACATTCCAAAGTAGGTTAGCAAGGTGAGGTCGTCTGGAGGAGCAGATTTAAATCGGTAGATTCAATCATTTTATTCAGGGCTTGTACGACATTCCTTAAATGTAATGATGTAGTCAATAAATACAGTAAAGCATGAACATTTTCTCACTTAACCTTTATATTTCCGTCTACTTGCATAGGTACACCCCTGATGTGGTATTCCTGCAGGAACTCATTCCACAGTATGTGCAGTATTTGAAGAAACGAGCTGTCAGCTACCTCATCATTGAAGGTATGGCTCTAAGAGGCTTTTATCTGAATGAATTCATGCTGCAGAAGAAAAAAATAATTAGTTTCGCTTATTACTTTTTCTTCTGAATCCATTATTTATGTATACACATAATGGATTCATATAAATATATATATATCCATATATATAAATAATCGATTATTGAAATAATCTTCAAGTAATTTAGAAAATGATTAATAGTAAACTGGAGTATAGAGACTAAAACATGCCTTTAGCTCACAGAGCGACCCACTTAGAGCGGTAATTACACCAACATTGTTTAAAAAAAAACAAAAAACATTTTGCATTTAAAATTAAAAAGACATGTTCGTCTATCAATATGCTCTATCTAGAACTCCTCAAGTGGAAAAGATTTAGTTCTACTTTGTTTAATTTCACAAGAACTCTTCTTTAAGGAACCTTTTTTCTATCCAATTATTAATCGAAAAAATAATTGAGATATATATATATATATATATATATATACATACACACACACACAATGATCTTTTGTTAAAAGGAAAAATAGGTGTATTTTCCAGCTAGGAACAGATGGGCTAATGAGGAAGTGACTTGAAATACTGTAAGCTAATTAACTGTATTTAAAAATGCTTTTTTTTGCCAAAGTAAAAAGATGCAAGTTTAGCTAAAAATGTGCTCATGTTTTACTCCTTAACTTCTCTGCTTGATGGAATTTCTTCCATTTTCCTCCAAGCTGTGTTAGTACTGACTG